CTCTTATTTGGAGTACTTTCCGAACCCTTAATAATTAGAATATTAATAACCAAATAAATAATAAACTGCATTCACAGTGGACATAGCGAAACGACAGAAGTAGCCCACTGCCAATCAGATATATACTCTACGTATTAGCCTTGGATATCAGAACTGCATATTAATAATACATTTTATAATGCTTTTTAATACAGAAATACTGTATAGCGTTGTATAATTAAAATTCGTTATATATTTTTTTCTAGTTTCTAGAAAACTAAATGGTAGCAATTAGAGATACTGCTGGTGATTTCAAAATCATTGCGCCATATTACACAAGAATCCTGTTAAAGTTCAAAAGCTGACGCGCATTCCCTTTTCATGAAACTCCCGCAGCTCCGCGAATCAACCCCCGTTAAAGTGGTTCTGTTCAGAGGACCGTGTCTCGACGCCTGTGCTGAGATCGTCGCCCGGCGCGGCGCCGTGGAAGCGCCTTCAAGGTGGAACCAAAGGCGCAGGTGATGCGGGTCTGGGAGACCGGATTGTGGGGCGCACGTGTTTAAGCGCAGCTGTTTTCTTCTGTACAGGTCGCCCAGTTTATACGCAAGTGGGGGAAACTTTTATTTAATGTGCACCAGGAAAAATAATGTACAATTTTTTTTTAAAGCTCAAAGGGTTGGGAGTCTGGTTTAAGCTACTAAACTAGGGTGACCATATTTTAGTTTTCAAAAAAGGGATGGGGATGGGGGGGTAGATAATCGACATTCGACACATGCCTCCAAAGCAATGAATCTTTATTACTTTTCCCAATCAAAAAATCAATTTAAACTCTCTAGTTTTTTTATTAAACTTCTTAGTAAGCTTTTGAAGAAGTTGCAGGGTTGCTATTTCCCTTCCATAATGGCAAAGAAAATACAAATAGCCCTATTTTAAATATATTTTTTTCATTTTAACACAACAAAAGTCTTAACATCTGTGGAAAAAAAGAAGACATCATAACAGGAGAAGTCCTCATTGGTTGCAAAAATGATTAATTTTAACAAATCATTTTGAAATATAATTAAAGAAGTTACACATTATTATTTCTCATGGCCATAAAACAGGCGCACACACACAAAAACCCTTTTCGTGCTACGCTGCTGACAAGTTCAAAACATCTACCAGTAAAGCATGGAACGAATGAAAATATGTAGCCTGTGTTTTTTAACACAGTCTGAGTAACGAGCGAAACAAAATCCCGGACACATTTTTGGAATTTTATAAATCCCAGTCGGAGCTATATTTTAGGTCTCAAAAAGAGGACGTCTGGCCACCCTAACAAAGCCATGTTGAAGATCTGAATGCCTCCGTATGGATGAAATTATTAGGTGGTTTCTCATTTGTAACCCGTCTCTTGGTGTGTGTTAATAACACAGAGAAGAGTGAGGGTACGTTTGGGGGCGACAGTGCGATGGCAGTACATTCTGTATACCGGGAGGTTGGAGGTTCGCCATCTAAGGTGGACGGTGAGACAAGTGTGGCAGTTTCGTTTTCACCCCAGAAAGAAGCAGACAAAGGCGGTGAATGCAAACAGGTTTAATTGCCGCGCCGGTCTGGCAGGACGGAGCAGGGAGCTCAGGCTCCCAGCAGGGGCAGGGCTGCGCTCAGCAGCAGGGGAACAGCCAGGAGGGGCAGGGAGAGCCGGCCGCGGGCGGAGGCGCCCCTGGCCTCCACCTCCCGGATCCAGCGGTAGTAGAGGCTGGCGCGGGTGTACACCCCGGGCTTCTTCTCCACCGCGCAGCCCTGGCCGAAGCTGGTGATCCCGAAGAGGTAGAAGCGCTGCAGGGTGCTGTTGAAGCACTGCAGGGGGCCCCCGCTGTCCGCCTGGCGGAACAGACACCCCGCGCCGAGGGAACACAGAAACCAGCCGCAATGTTAACACTTCAGTGTGGTGTGCAGCTGCTGACACAGAGGCTTCTATTAACTGGCAGCACTCTCTCATCGCTGGTGGCTTTGTGCTGTGAGGGTGTGCGCACAAACCCACCGCTTCCAAAACCGAAACCTGTGAAGTGCGAGCTCACCTCAGGAAGAAGCTGTTCATGTGAGAGGATAGAGCAGGTCACCCATCGCCAAATTGCTCATCATATGAGTCCTTTGATTTTACACACTACTGGTTTGGGGGGAAAAATCCCCTGTGGCACACGGGTTAGAATCGCTGTCTTGCAGCGCAGGGGACCTGGGTTCAATTCCTGGAGTGCTATCTGCGTGGAGTTTGCATGTTCCCCCCATGTCCGTGTGGGTTTCCTCCCCCAGCACCCTCCACGTTGGGCTAACGTACCTGGCAGGCGTCGATGCCCCCGGTCTCGTGCCCAGCGCACTGCATGTTCTCGGTCAGGCTCTGATTGTACCAGTCCGGCTGGTTGCAGGTCTCTCTGGGGATGAGGTTGACCTCGGCCTCCTGCAGAGTGTCCGCTCTCTCCCCTGCAGAGTGTGAGGAGCAGCAAAGGTCACGTCAGGGATCCCCACAGCCGGCCTTAGTACGAGCCTCCTGGGTTTTCATTCTGGCTGAGGTTTTGATGACTTAATTAGCCTCCTCAGTCGGTGTATCGCGTGCGGCAGGACTGGGAGAGAGACTGACCTCCCCATGACGTGGTCCCCCAGCCGCTGATGAAGCACGGCGTCAGGCCCGCCTCCTCGCTCGCGCCCCTCAGCAGGCACACCGGCTGCACGTAGTCGGTGAAGTTGACAGGGGAGCACAGCTTGAGCAGGGCCACGTCGTTGTCGCCGTTTTTGGTGTTGAACAGGCTGTGGCGGAAGATGTGGGTCACAGTGCGGTTCTGTGTGTTTTCGTCGCTGGTTTTCCACACCTGCAGCCCAGCTATGACCCTCAGCTTCGATGGATCGCTGTGGGAGAGAGAGGGAGCCGAGAGCTTGCAAGAGTTATTCCACCTGGCCAGTCATCTAAGTGTCTGTTTAAACCTGGTGAGGTCGGGCCGCAGTGATACAAGCTTTAGTAGGTTTGTCTTGAAAACGCGGTCCGAGTCGAATTGTGCTAGGATTCACACGACGCTTCAATCCTGTGAATGATTTGATCTTACACACTACTGGTTCGGGGAAAGGGTGTTACTGTGACGGTACTGTGACACCCTTCACATTGGCTAGAATCGCTGCCTCCCAATGCAGGGGACCTGGTTCAATTCCTGGGGTGCTATCTGTAAAGAGTTTGCTTGTTCTCCCCATGCCCATGTGGGTTTCCTCCCAAAGACCCTGAACTTGGCTAAGTCTGGGTGTCTGTGTGTCCCGTGATGGACTGGAGTACTGTGATGTCTTTTTTTAGTCTTTTTCTCTATTCGAGATGTACAGCGCCCTTGGGTTTTTGAAAGACACTTTATAAATAAAAGTTATTATTATTATTATTATTATTATTATTATTATTATTATTATTATTATTAT